GGGACTACCGCTGTGGGCCTTTTAACAGCTGAAAGAAATACTAACCGTCTTGCTTCTGCCATTAGGAGTTATTTAGATCAGTGAGTCTAGCAATATGACAACTTCAATCTGATTTGACCCTCACTGTAACTTGTAGAGTTAGAAAGTTATTTCTACATTGAGTTGATTCCATCAAAGCTGTTAAGAGGTCCTAATATTAATACAGAAGAACCCAGTTTAACTTGTTTTTTTTAAGGGTTTAGATGCACCAACTTCTTTAAACGGAAAATGAAACCTGTGTATGAAACACGTTGCCGCGGCGTTTGAGTGATCAAAGTGGAAAAATACACTCTGAACATTGCTGTTCATCTTCCTCTCTTTTACACGTGATTATTTGCACCATATTAGCATTTTCTTGTTGTTGGCTAATCTAAAGAAACTTGAGTTTTTAAATATTAGGTTATTGCCTTGTTAGTATTTACTATGCCAATGCAACTGCTTGTTTTCCCTAAATTACACAAACCTTGCTTTTTTAAATATCATTCCACTCAATAAAATGGAATGAACTCCGAACCTGTGGTGACAATGAATTTATGAGTGGGTTACCATCAGGGTTTCTTGAAACTAAATGTCATTAGTCGATGCGGCCTGACAGATCACACCCCTGACTGCAGCTTTGCTCAGCAGCACCTCTCCTGACCTCTGCTTCATCACAGAGATCGATGGATGCCTGCATTTGAAGTTGAAAGAAGTCTGCATGTTTCCTGTGTATCAGTCAGCCATGTTGGCAGACTCAATTGAAACCATGGCCTCTAAAAGGCAACCCCGACCACAAATATGCCAACTCACTCGTGAGATTTTCCTCCTCTTTGATTGTCTCATGGTGCCTCTGGCTCCACATGTTGTCATCGTAGCTAATGTGTATGTCTCAGAGCAAAGCGTATGGCTGAGGACTGCTGTTTTCCACTACCTGTCTGAAGAAACATTGTTGTCATGAACTTACAGAGCTCATTCTGAGCGTCTGCCATTATGGGACAGACGTTGCTACACAGTAATTTAAGCAATTTAACGATTGTTGCGTTAGAGGATGTCACAGCAACTTGCCACAGAAATGCTCAGCCCAGTTTGGACTGAAACTGACTAGTGTCCGTGTCAAAGCAAAGGGATGTTAAAGGCCTGTCAGACAGCCTGACGCGGGGTGTTGTCGTCCACAGAGGAAGAGCCCTGGAATGGAGGGAAGCTGGGAGGTCGAAAGGGCCTTGGCAGACAATGGACAACCAACTAGCGTAGGGAGGCCAGAATTGGAAAACAAAAAGAAATCATTCCTGTATGTCACTGGTAGTTGGACAAACTTCCCGGCACTTTCTTCTCTTCACGTTGTTGCATTTCATCTTTAAACAAACCTTTTTTTCTTTTTTTTACTCTTCTGAATTCTGTTTTCCTCGGCAGAGTGCAACGTGTGCCTGTTGCGCTCTTCGTCATTGTTTGCAGTGATTTACAGCCATCTGATTCTTTGTAATTTCCTTCCTCTGGATCCCTCTCAGCAAATACATGGGGGGGGAAAAAGGCATGTGACACTGCGCGAGAGAAGTTTCTAGCTCACAGTGTTTCTTAATTTCTCTCATAAGGCTTTCCCAGCTTGCAGCAGACAAGGTCTGTGGCTTTCAGTGGAAGCTGCAACTCCCACACTGTACATTTTCACCAAGTTCAAGTGACTGGCTGTGTTTAGGATTCCAGTCAGGTGCAGAAAGTAAGGCAGAATGGGGGTGAGGGGGGTATTTTTAGTCGTCTGACTGGTGTCTGCCTTTGCTTTCAAATGGTGCTTTCCAGCCATTACTTACTTACAAAAACCCCAAATGGTAGTCATATAAATTTTGTGCGACATGCTGTGTGAGAAATAACATTTTTGTGTTTTGGAAAAATTGTCTAATCAAGTTTTCAATTGAATTGGACTTCGGGAAGATGCAGTTTTGCATATCTAGCTATTGCATACTGTTCCTTACTAGTTAATCCCAAAGTGAACTTTTTTTCCACATGCATGGACTGGTAAATGCAGATAGAAATATTGTAATTTCACTGTATAAAGATAAAATTTTAAACCTAAGTAATAGATAAACTTTTTACTTATTGTTTTGTTATAAATAACATTCAATTATTCCTAATTTAGACATAAGAATACAAGAGCACATACCTAAATTTGGAAGCAGTTTTCTAGTGCCTATTGTGTTGAAGTCATTTATCTGCTCAAGTTGCACACGTGCAGGTAGGGGCTTCATTTTCACACCACTCATACTTTACCAACTATAGCTGAAAACCTTGTTAACGACGGATCAACCTGAAATATAATAACATAGCTCACTGTCAGGTACCCATGGCAAAAGTCTGACCAGCATTGGTAATTCTGCCTCACTCTAACTTCATGTTGCTGGTGAAAAGTGGTCATAGGATTCCCATCCAAGGAAATATAAATCCTACGACTCGCTCTATTGTATTTTATTAGGTTTTTGGTATAGACCGACAAAAGAAGTATATTACAATCAAATTGGTGGAAAATTCTTTGTCCCCTTTTTTCCTCAAAAAGGAAAAACAATCTAAAATGTTGTGTAGATTGCTCTTCAGCCACATTTAACTCTGAAATCAAGTGGACTACAACCAGTTGCCGTTAGAAGTCCCATCATGAAGATAAATTCCCTTTTGTTTCCAGACCCCTTTATTCTTAAAACACCAAATAAAATCCCTAGCAGCAAATTGCTTTAACTCTGTGCTATTGAAAGATGAAGTGTGATTCCATCCAGATTTACTACCCTGGGATTACCCTTTGCACATTTCCAGCTATTGTACCCAAATGTCCAGAACTCAGCTGAACACTTAAGCCTGGCTAAATATCGAGGTAGTGCTTGCCAGAATATTTTAGCACCACCTGAGCTGAGTGCAGCTGCTCCCTTCTTTGCAAAAAAAAAAATATATTTCCATTTGTGCATTTGACGTAAAAAGATACCATCTCTTCTAAACTGGAGAAGGAAGCTCTCCCACACTGCCAAAAAGTGAATGATTATGAATAACTCTAGAACCGTATAAGTGATGTGCTGTAGAAGCATTGCTCTTAGTGGCTGCCCTGTATCGGTTAGCTGTGCAGGCAAATCCAGACTTCCCATAAATTTAGCTCGGTGCAGATTGATCATCTAGGCAAATAAAGTGGCTCTGCATTTTCAATGCAAAGCATTCAGGGACCATGGTAGACAAAAGAAGCAAATGGACACTGATGACAAGGACACTGATAAGGCATTTGGCAGATAAAATATAAGCTCTCTGACATTTGCTAAAAGATGTGGCTATCAGCAGATAAAGCCCATCAACTTTTATATTTCAACCATAAATGTTTTAGCTACGTAATCACTTTTTAACTTGTGCTCATTAGGAATTTAGTTGATATATTTAGTGTTTTTATGACTGAAACATCTGTCCATGGATATCTTTTTGTCTTTGGTTTGAGTTTGTACAATGATACCTAACTGGCTTGTGTGCAGCACGTAACCTCCGCCTCCAGACATCAGCTCTTAACACCCTGTCTGCACTCTGTACTTATGCACAGTGGTGGGACTAATAACAGGCTCTACCTGGAAGCAATTTGACGTTGGACTCTCAGCCCTACCGTGAAATTTGTCTGCTCTCCTTGAGTCAGAGGCACCTTTCAGTAACAATCCATCTGTGGTAAAGGGTACTCGCGTTTCTCCTCACTGGGATAACAGACGGCGCACGCTTTCCTCCCAGAGCAGTCCCGGAGACTCCACCCTGCCTCACTGTATAATTTCACCCAGCTGTCTTTTGATTATGCAAGCTATAGCCTTGCAAACGTAATCAGAAACGGGCCTAAATCTGTTACCGTCTCTGATATCAGCGTCTGCTTGGGCTGAGCTCGAGTCATTGTAACATCATAAGATGGCCTCAGCCCTGCAACAATAGGACTATAGAGTTTGAGAAAAGTAGCAGAGTTTGAAATAAGGATGCAGATCAGGCCAAGGTGATTAGTGCAATGTGATTAGCAGCAGTGAGGCTGTAGCTAACAGAAGTTCTTTGGTCTCAAAGTATACAAGGCAAGTTGACTAGGGGGCCTGGTTTTGTGTTAGATGACAGTAAATGAAAGAAAAAAAGTCTGTTTTAGGATTTTTAGGCCCCTGCCTTAACAAGTTTTGATCCCACTTAGTTTTTATTCCGGTATGCCACTTTTTTTGGTTTTTGTGTCCTCAGTACCTTGGCCTAATCCTGAAGAATGGATTTAGATTTGGAGCATGGGGGTGTTTGTGGTCTCGTGGAAAAGGACGGATATTTAGAAAGCCCGTAATGCTAATTATTGCTTTATTTTCTTTGTGCTTTTCTGTTTCTTTTTAGACTTGTTCCATACTAGTAGAAAGTGGGGAAACACTGTTTCAGAAGACTTTTCTTAAATGCAGTTTCAGCAAAAAAAAAACAACAACAAAAAAAATGATGTTTTTGGGGAAAAAAAGGCATATTCAGGTAAATAAAAAAATAAATAAAAAATGCTCTTTTGAAATTGAAATTTTTTTCCCCTAAATATGCCTTCAATTGGCAACCAAGAAGCTATTTTTTTTACTCTCTGAGGGGATTTTCCCTCCTGCTGTACTTAGATTTGGTGCTAATTAATGTTAAAGTGGGTAACATGACAATGTGAGCATGCAATATGTATTCTGTCTTTAAAATAATGTCAATAATCCATCAATATTTAACAAAAACCAGCTTAGTTAATCACTAATTGATACTCTGAGCAGAGGTCAATGCTTTCAGTAGGATCCTTGGTATCTGTAGGATGCGCACCAACCTGCATCTTGATTGCATGAAAGGACCGAGCTCATTAGAGATCATCAGTGGATTGTCTAAAATGGTTTAATTAAATACTTTGCCTTTTCCTAAATTTTGAATTCATTCTATATTCAGAAAGATTTCATTTTAAAATGTGAAAAAGAAAATCAATGCCCCTTTCTAAAAACTATTTTTGCTCCTAGGAATTGGGAAGGTGAAGAACAGGAAGGGAGGGATGAGAGACACCGCTTCAAATGCCGACACAGATCTGAGCACAGATAACGGCGAGAGGCTGTACGACCTCAACGTGCCCGCCTTCGTCAAGTTCCACTATTCGGCGGAGCGTGACGACGAGCTGTCCCTGGTGAAAGGCACACGGGTGGTGGTGATGGAGAAGTGCAGTGACGGCTGGTGGCGGGGCAGCTACAACGGACGCTCTGGCTGGTTCCCTTCCAACTACGTGACAGAGGATGTAGATGGGACGGCGGGAGGAGGCGGCATGGGCGGATTTGGAGATCCGGCTGCCGGATCGCTGACTGATCAGGTGGTCACTGTGGTGAGCAGCAGCGCAAACGGAAACAGGGTGCTGCACACAGTTCAAGCTCTCTACCCGTTCGAATCTGGCAACGACGAGGAACTGAACTTTGAACGGGGCGAGGTAATGGAAGTCATAGAGAAGCCAGAGAACGACCCGGAGTGGTGGAAGTGCCGCAAAGCAGACGGACAGTTGGGCCTGGTGCCTAAGAACTACGTCACTGTGCTTGACTCCAGCTCCCATAAGTCCACAGGGGGGCCGGCCGGGCCTCCAACACCTGACTGTGACTACATCTCTCCCTCAGGCAGCGGGCGCTTCGCTGGGAAGGAGTGGTACTATGGAAAGGTGACGCGCCATCAGGCTGAGGTGGCTCTAAATCAGAGAGGCACGGAGGGAGACTTCCTCATCCGAGACAGCGAGTCATCGGTTAGTCACTGAGACCTGTCCCTTAAAGGACTAGATCAGAGTATCTGAAATTAGCTTCTGTTAAACGGTTATAAGCTTCTACTATCTTCCCTGTTGTAGATGCATCAGGGAAAACCCTACATTTTCCTCAGTAAGGACTTTGAATAGCTTAGTCTGGTAGGAATTGAATGTTAATATTGGTACTAGTTCACGTTATTCACACATGAACACAAATCTAATTCAATATGTCCACGTCTATTTATTTAATGTGTAAAAATGTTTAGATTGTTAAAGACTTTTTTAGTTCTTCAGTGATTTCTTTTGGGGTCATAATGGGAGAGAAATAAATGTAACATCTAATCAGCTGTGACCAAGTGCTCCCCATAAGATTTTTGACAGAGGAGTCAGAATATTGATTAGATTATCAGGAGCCGAGGAGCATACAGACAGCATGTTCATGAAATTCACGCGCACATCTGGCCTTAGGCAGATGTTCAAGACTGCTGAAGTAAAGGCATGTTCCTTAAATTTGGTGTTAGATATACTGAAATACAATGAGTCAACGAACTATTGGAAGAGATGGTGTTGAAAGATGATGCCAAAATGGATGTCACTCCCCATCATACATCTATCAACATTTTGAGATGCACACATAATGCCATTGGGCTCTTTCAGCACCACACCATGTGGTTCTGTGAGACCTTTATCTCAGTGAAGGTAGTTTTTGGAGAACTTTATCAGGATCATTCATGAGAATCTGAGGAAAAACGTTAGACTGGATTTGGAGTTTTGAAGCTGCACTTTTGAGTCAACTGTGTAAAATATTTTGGAACAACTATAGATAAACTATAGAAGAGACTCTAGGACAGTTTTAGGACACCTGAATGCTACATCTGGTCGTTTTTTGTAGTGGATTCAAGATGACAAGAGTCGTCTTGAATGCAGCTTTTCTGCTAATTGATAAACTTCATAACACCTTTTGTGGGGGTTATTTGTGCGATTTACTTGTATTTTCATCGACATTGGGTGGAAAGTTTATATCGACAGCCGTGTTTAACAGGTTTACAAATAAGAGCTGATTTAATGCCTTTTTTCTGCTGCAACTTTCTTTCCTTTAGTATAAATATAAATTAGTTGTTTCTGGAGGGCTGTAGCTAAAGGATAGTCTCTAAAGTGATAAGAGCAGAGAAGATTTTTTTTTTTTTTTAAGGATCATGTTTGTATTGGGTGTTATTTACAAAGAGCAGTTCAAGTAAATGTATCTATAGTTGTAAATAATCCTAATCTTTAACCTAATTTCACTTCTATGATTGTTATTATGAGCAGAAATGCTTTTTCTGTTCTTTTCTCACTATTACACAGGAAAACCTGGAGGGTTGCACTAATAAGTGTAAAACCATCCTATGCACACATGGTGATGTTTTACAGGGCCATAAAACAACATACACATAAACCCCCAATGACTTTTTAAATTAGTGATGTTATGGTGCAAGTCTGCTTTGGTTTCTTGATCCAGCCAATGATTTCAACCTTCAGGACCAATTAGTCTGGATTTCTGCTAAATAAAGACACAGGGAGTAATTAGGACCTAGGAAGTTGGTTACTAATTTCCTTTTAACAGACATAAAAAAAAGTGTGATTATCCCTTCAAAATCTGTCTTTCCTTCCATCTGTGGTCACTAATCAGAATTTTCTCATACCTTTTCAGCCGAACGACTTCTCCATTTCCCTGAAGGCGCAGAGCAAGAACAAGCATTTCAAAGTTCAGCTCAAGGAGAACCTTTACTGCATCGGACAGCGCAAATTCAACTCTATGGAGGAGCTTGTTGAACACTACAAAAAGGCTCCCATCTTTACCAGTGAGCAGGGAGATAAACTGTACCTGATCAAAGCCCTGGCTGCCTCCTGATCCCACCCTTAATCACAAACAGATTAATGGCTTCCATATAGAAAAAAACTGATCCTTACACCAGAACACACACTAACATTTCAGCTCCAAGCCTGAAGACTTAACACATCATCAGGACTTAAATGGCCGCTTTGTGAGCATTCCAAGAGGAGATATGGAAAAAGCATGGGAGAGACATTGAGAGGGCTGGAGAAAAGAGTTGCATATCCTCAGAGTTGACTACAGACCTCCTGGTCGCATTTTTAAATTATCCACATGTTAGCTCATAGGCAACGGCATGTATTTTCACCCTTGGTATCTATTAGGGTTTCATTTAGATTTCTTTATGTTGATAATATATAATCTTTGCTTTAACAGTTTCCTTTAAAGATGTGATTTTCATTTTTTTGTACTTTTGTTTTTTTTTTTTTTAAACACACGACATATTGAGATATTTTAAGATGAAAACGTACTCAGAGCCATGCCTAAAGGTCTTACAAGTTGACTCCCTTTGTTTGTCTTACAGCCTTTTTTTTCGTGAATGTGGACAATAATCCACAACTTCAGCTAATAAGTGATAATAAATCAAGTGACCAAACTATATTTATTTAGATTTGTTAGGATCCGTGTTGTTAAGTTGAAATAGTAAGGTGCATCTTTCTTTTTTCTCTATTCCTTGTGCAAATAGGCTTTTTATTTTCAGTACAATAGAAGTGCTTGTGCCACATTTTGCTGTATCCACATCATGTGAATGTTACAAAGAGGAGGAAAATTACACGGCCAATCTCATGATGCTAACAAGTGGGATAGGGTAAAACCAAACATCCTTTTATCTTCCATTAAATTGCCTTTTCCTGACTGATAACAGGTTGGGGTGTTCTGAGCAAGGATCCTTTCTGATTTTATTTTATTTTTTATTTTCAAAGGACTAAACATGTGTGACGGGGAAAAAAAAAAGAAATGTGTGCAGGTTTTCAATCCAGTTGCTGATGAAGGAATTCTACGATTATCCCCATTTATGGACCGAAGTCCAAAGTCCCTGAGCTATTATCTGATTTTCCTGTCTCTAAACTAAAAGAAAGTCCATCAGAGTACATGTTGGTGTTTTCTGTAGAATGAAAACGATGGTTGCTCTTATTTTGATGACTTTAAATATCAAAAGAGATTTTTCTTTTTAAGCATTTGATCTCCTGATTAAACAAAAACTGGGTGCTTTAGTTTGGTTGATTGCTGCCTCTACTTAACCAGAAATCCAGTGACCATCATCTGTTTTTTCATAAATGAATCTTTGTCAAAAAATGTGCATTAAAGCACTTTCTTTTGTTCTGTGGTCTTATAAAGTGAAAATCTTGGTTGAAAAGTATTTAACAAATATTGAGGAATCTTACTTCCCTTGGATAAAAATCGACAGAATTGATCTCTTAGTATTGGGAGTATCTTTGCATCTAATGATTAACTTTGGAGCAGTGGAGACTTTTTTCTTTTTTTTTTCGAAGTCAGGAAAATCTATAAATCCAGTTCTGGAGAAAAGAGGAAGTGGAGGACCAGTCCTGGCTGCCAAGAGCATGATGTCACTGCTCCTGAATAAGTGATTACTTGAGCTAATAGAGGGTCACCAGGGGGTCAAGTGTACGTACTTGCAAAACATGTACATCATACAAGAAAACGAGCCATTCCTTAAGGAGGTGGTAAAAACCCACCTTTTTTTACACAGCGGGGGTCTGGAGGGAATGGGTTTTTCACTAGAATGGGAGAAGGTAGAGTTGAATGTTGAAGGGAAGCAATCTAAGCTACAGCAGGAGTGCTGGCAGGAAGCCACTCCAGCCGGGGGATGTTGACGACGATGATGATGACCATCGCAAAGCTTGCGATGATGAGTTCTGCAGCTGGTTGGACCCGGGCACAAAAAGAAGACGAGGGAAGGAAAAATAGATTAAGGAATTGGAGAGCATGTTTTTACTGTTCCACCACACCCAATTATTCATGTGCAACTGGGCGCGTAGAAGGCTTTTTGATGAGAGACTCTAAAGTGATTGACAGAAGTAGACATGCTCCAATTGGAATCGCTGAATCCTGGTTTCTACAAGCTTTGACCTAATATCAATTTTACCCAAAAAAAATAGTTTTCTTTACAAACCCTGTTAAAGAAATATTTAAAAAAATAATGAACAGAGGCAACTATCACACTGTGTGTGAGACTTGGTGGTTGATGTTGGTTAAATTAAGACCATGATTGGGGAACATATCAGCATTATTTATCATTTAGCACAGCTAGGAATGATTCCTTTAGTCTCCATGTAATGTAAGATCCTTACTTTTAGATCTTTAAAAGCCTGCCAGAAATTTCTTTTCTGTAATGTTCCAAAATATTTTTTTCTTTTTCTTTTTACTGAGAATAATTAATGTCCAACTTGGCTGTGTTCTATCCACTCATGTTGTCTGCTTAAAGTCCTGTGTTCTCACCGTATGTAACACTCAACAAGCCACAGAAGTGTCTCAACGTGTCACATAGAGACAGTTGACTTTCAAGTAGTATCTCTGATACTAAATATGGCTTCTTTGGAGTTATTTACTCTGTAATAACGTCCTAATCAAAGAAAGAAATCAGTGTGGAGTGACAGTACTTTGTAATGGTGTAATGAAATCTGGATTTAAGACCGGCCTAATCTCAATTTACCATTGAATGTTCATGTTATTTATAAATAGATAAACCTAATGAAAGCAGGATCACTGAAATTTGTAGTGATATATCTGGTTTCTAATAGTATTGATCAATTAAATTGCATTCCCATTTTAAACTACATTGTTTTCAGGAGTAATACCCAATCTGCAACCATCTTCTCCATTAATCTGATATGAAAACCTTATTTTTAAGTCAGTCCAGTTTCTATAGGATCTCAAATGTGTGTTGTTGTTTTTTGCATAGCATTAAAGTGAATCCACCAACACTTTCTGCCCCACTTTTAAGGATTTAGGAGAATCTTATGTGCCTTCACAGCTTTCTGGCAAACCAAAGCTTTAGCAGCCCCACCCGCCCTCCATAACCGTACTTTCCACTTCCCTAATCACTGCTATCTGCTTAAAGCTTTGCATGTGCATCGATGGAGCGATTAGAAGATGTGTCAGGAACACATCCTCCTATGGACGAGCATTTCCTCCTTCAGCCTGCTCGATCATGCATCAAATGCCCTTTTAGTTGATCCGTTTCTTTTCAAGTGACCTTACCATGGCTGACTTCATCGAGTATTAGATGAACAGTGATCGCCTACATGTAAATGATAAAAACACATGGATGTTGGGTGATTAACACAACTCCAGGTATGATGTAATCATGACCTCGATCTGTATGAGCACCTCAAGTAACTGTATCATGAAACATTGATGGTTTCTTAATATATAACTTTTACGTCTTTGACTATTGTAATTTCACAGCTTTTTGCCTCTTTTTTTTTTTTTGCAGTTTAGCCACATTTATGAAAGAAATCCTAAATATTTAAATATTTACCTTGGCATCAAACAACTACAGAATCTCCCAGCTTAGATATTGTTACTGGGAGCTGTTTGATGGCTCAATAAAATGAGGCTGCATGAGCAGAGCCTTAAAGCTGTGCAAGAGAATCTGCTTTAACGACACATTAAAGTCAGTTGTGATGGATATTATCAAGACCGCTCCTCCTGATGGGGCTACTGCTCACCCTGAACCTGAGAATTGTAAAACTTTCACACAGATGTCTTGATAATATTGAAACAAGTGGCCCGTTTTTGTTTTTTGGTGCTTTTGTGCTGCTTACATTTCTGTGGTGATTAAAGCCTTTTTTTTTCTGCAAGTCAAGAGTGAAGAACCAGATTCATACTGTGGAATGATTAAAAAGGCAGTGCTGTGAAAAAAAAAGCAATGTTATGCTCTTAATACTGTTTTTATGGAGGGGAGACTGTCTTCAGGTGTAATAATTTAGAAGATTTAGAGTGTCAAAGATGTAATAAACTTATAAAAATGAACATATCGGGTTGTCTTTTGATGTTTTTGAGAATACATATGAAAAAGTGGTTCTGGTGCACGAGACAAATCAGAATATTAAAAGTGAATTGTCACTCGGATTCACTTCAGACACGTGTATTTCTGTCTATTCATGTTGATTATGGTTTATTTAATTTTCTTAAAAATATTAAATGATGCAAAACAAAAACTGATATTTTTTTAACAAAAATGTTCTACCAGAGAAAAAAAGACTTGGAATAATTGAAATGTAATCCATTCATTTTTCCTCTTTAAATGGTGTCCTTAAATACCTCTCATGATTGGGTGTATTCCTGTCGCCAATCTGCCTATTTTTTTTTCCCTGACTCAACTTTCCATTGTTATGCTTGGATAGAGAACTCTAAGCACACATATTTTCTTTTTTCTTCAGTGGGGATTCCCTATAAAAGAGGTCAGCAGTATTCCTCATTATTCTCAAGACCTTGGATCTGTTTAATAAAGTATGTTTAATGAATATTAAGTTTTCAAAAACCTGAAATTAGGGAAATTCTGAGTTTTCCGTTTCATGCAGTTTCCTTTACCTCTGTTTCTGTTGCCATGGTAACATTTTTCCAGAGCGAACCTGTTCACGAGCAGGTTTTGTACAATAAACTATCCTCTTTCTTCAGCTCTCCTTCAAGACAATCACGTATTTTTATTGATTTTGTCAGGAGCTTTTTTTTCTTAGTTTTGTGCAAACAATAAATAATTCATAACAAACAAAATAAATCATTAACAAGACCCATCAGACACATTAGGTTTTGAAAATAACTATTGTTGGACATACAATATTACATTCATTCTCTTTATTATCTTGTGTAGTTGGATGTGTGTATATATATATATATATATATATATATATATATATATATATATATATATATAACTAACTGGAGCGTGTAACAAAAGTAATTTCCCTCTGGGATTATTAAAGTATTTCTGATTCTGTAAAGAATGATCAGCATTACTCAAGAGACTTAAATATTTAAACTTATCTCACAGGATGTAAGATTTGTATGAGCGACATGTGAACCTTTTTTTTTTTTACAGTAGAGGAACTACTGAAATGATTTCAGATGGCAAATAATAGGTTATTTAATTCCGCTGGGCGAAAATGAATCACTTTAGGATTAGGATTCAGTCGGTGATAACCTACCGAGACTACTGGTAGGTAGGAGGTGCAGTCTGAAGGCATTACATGGGAAATATAAGAGCTATTAATGGCAATTTATTGGGATGATAACATCCAAAGTGGCTGCAAAGAGCCACTTAGTGATAACTGTGTGATAGAAGACGGAATCAAATTAAGGAGGAACCCATGGATGATGAACAGGTCCTATCTTTTAGAACAATGTTTTTGAGACTTCACCCTACCCTGCTGCCAGATACTTTCAACTGTTTATGCATTTAGCAGACGCTTTTATACTAAGCGACTTACAAAGTAGACTACCAATATGACAAACTAACCAGAATGCATTAATCCATGGCCATTCATGCAGTAAACTAGTTTTCCCCCATAATGTTATCGTGGTCACAACACTCTATAGCAGGCCTATTTGATATGCATTAGTTTGAATATGTATTTCTGATATCTGAAAAAATGTTTTTCCTTATCAAAATGTCCATTTCAAACAAATTCATTTTTTTCCACAGCTAATATACACATTTTGGATGTCTAGAAATTAATTTCCTATCTCCATTTTCCTATTGTCACTGGTCATTATTTGTACTATGAAGAAATGTATTTCAAAAATATTCAGTCGAGCCGATGAATGTCAAAATGGCCACTTATAATTTGTAAACATTATTTAAATACAAATCGGCCACTTATGTATAAACATTACCATGTATATAAAACTTGATTCTATCAAGTATAATTTAGTTTTTTACTATCTGAAATTCAGTTTCTGTGGCAAACACATAATTTAGATAATCTGTTATTAAAGTTCTGACTAGGAATGTGATTTTAATCAGGAAGACTCCTAGTTAAGTGATTTACTGATGGCACAACAGAGAGAACGTTTTAATAAATGTTAAAATGGCCTTCCATACATAAACATACGCATTACCTCTTCCTCTCCTTTTCATGAAAATATTCCATTGTTTTGCAATAGACACTTTCTGTTGTAATGGTGACTCGTCAAATCGATGCTCCTGATAATGGTTTATCATACCTACTCAGAGTTCATTAAACTAACTCACAGCAGCTGTAGTGAAACCGAAAACTCAGTTTCTAATCTAAGGCTAGATCAGTTTAGAGTTGAGGATTTGAGTCTGAGTTTGTTAAACCTGCTTTGTAAAAAAACAGCCATTATCCAAACATCTTGAGGTAAATTACAATTTGAGAGCCAAGTTCTGGTATTTGATCATCTTTAAGTAATAATTCTTAAACCTAACTTAAAAAAAACTTGAACTAGATCACTGTGCTTAATAAATCTATCATGTTTGAGGTAACCTATTTTATATTTTCACATATTGATGTGTGTTATTCTAGCAGAAACAGCTGTGATGCATCTGTGCCACCTGGTGGCCGTTAATAGAACAACATCTGACTCAGAACAAGTTTAATCACAACTCCATAACTTTTGGTTTATTAAGAATCAGGCATGAAAAATTACACAAACTCTAGTATTCTAAAATAAATCACTCTGTTTGCATAATTCAAATATATATATTATATCATTTTTAACAAACAAAGAAGGGTCGTATAAAAACAAACAAAAACATTTCCCCCTTCTCCAATGACCCTCATTAAACCCTTCAGTTGGAAGCGGTATGCTGTTTTCATGGAGCATGTGAGACAAAGTGGGTTTGTGTGGTTGTTACATAACTCTGGGGCAAACATCGCGGCGGTGTCCAGAGGCCGGCCTCAGTTTTTTTCTGCTGCGCTCGGCAACAGAACAGCAGGAGCCTTTTCAGGCTCTTTTGTCTCCCTTCCATCAGGGCCCCCCAGATGATTCACATGAGGGAAAACATTGCAAAGTATAATGGTAAATAAAAGATATAAAGAAACAAGCTCCCAGTGTTTCAGATAATAACACAGTAAGCAATATAAGTGCTGTGTTAATAGCTATGGGCGTGCAGCAACACTGCTAATACATAACAAAAAGTGGTGGCTACTTATCAGAGAATCAATCTGGATACATATAGGCTTTGCTAGGCTTTTTAAAAAGTAAATTGCAGCCATTTACTTGCACTTTAACAAAACAGGCTTAACCAATGAATGATTTTAAGCAAAAAGCATCAGCTTCGATTTTAAAAGTAGAGCAAGTCAGATATGGCGCCTGGTAGGTGAGTCATCACCTGCATCCTGATCCACCAGTGCGGCTCCATAGGGCTGTATCGCGTGTACGGACGCTTTGATCTGATGGCATCCGTGATGTCATCCAGAACCGGGCTCATGTCTTTTACGCCACTGTTGCAGTAGGACCGCATCAGCGCCATGTACTGCTCAAAGTGGATTTTCCCATAATCCTCCTTCACGTCGTCGGGGGCCTCGTTCCACAGCTTGTTGGCTGTGTTGGCCACAATGTCCCGGGTAAGGATGCCAGTGGCCACGATAAAGTTCCCTGGTTCGATGACTGAAACTTTAACTCCCCATGTCTTCATCTCGTAGCGCAGACAGTCGGAGAAAGCCTCTACGCCATATTTGGACACGCAGTAAGGGGATCGCAGCCGGTTGCCCATCCTACCATACATGCTGGCGATGTTCACGACTCGACCTGCAGGCAGAGAAAGAGACCAAGTTTATATTTATCATGCTATCACCCAGTGCTTGAGGTAATAGGTCAGTTTATTATATTCATTTTTTTTCACGGATTCTAGTAAAATATATACCAGATTGTCGAAAGCTCAAAAAGCAGATATTTTTCCAATCAGTGAATAAACCTTACCACGGAATAGTTGGGGAAAAAACGGAAATTCAAACATGACTGCTTCTAATGAGAGAAAAGGATTCAAAATAAAAAAACTTTCAGTAATGATGAAAATTTTAAATTAAGACAGACAATCAGAGATTTAAAGGTATAGTGGAGGATGTTCTTTTTTCCGGGTGGATCATCAAAATAAGTGGTCCTCCTAGTTGCCAATCATTCTGGTGAAATGTTTACGTAAGGCTCGTGCTTATCCCCATTTTCCCCAACCGGTGGTGAGTTTGACAGAGTAGAAAAATAGCAATTCTTCTTTTGCAAAGTAAGCTTGTACGAGTGATGCAAAAAGCAACTTTTAAACAAAGTGTGCACGAGGAGAAATGGGCTTGTCCATGTCTCGCAACATGTTTGATAGGCGTTCCCTCTTGGGAGTGGGTACAGGGTTAAGCATAAGCATTATTTTTTTCTTTAAGTGTAGAGGGCGGATCTTTTCAAAAATTTGGGAAAATCCTCCATTAGTCCTTTAAGGTTCTAACAGAGTACAATAACATACAAATGATGCAAAATTCTTGCACAGGTGGCTAAACCACTTACATGTACTTCTTAACTGTAGATGTATATAATCTGTAAATCTTTTATCTGCCATTATCTTTCATTATTTTACCTGTATTATAACCAGGGCTGCAACAACGAATCGATAAAACCGACTTTTAAAAGCGTTGGCAACGAATTTTGTCATCGATTAGTTGTGTCGGGCGATTAATGCGTCATCCGCGACCGCCGTCATCACATCCACTTGACTGAAACGGGGGAAGAAGAAAAAAATACGGCAGAGCGAGCCAGCGGCGCTGGTGCAGTGTTGCCAACTCGGCGACTTTTCAGACCCCTCCAGCGACTATTTTCCAAAAAAGCGACTAGCAACAAATCTGGCGACTTTTTACGGTGTCACTGGCGGCTTTTGGAGACTATTACGTGAAAGCATGTATCGTTCCTACTCTGCCGTGGGGCGCCTCCCCCACCCCAACCCCGTTCTCCTGCAGGAGTCCCTCTCAGTGCTGCAGTCAGAGCAGCAGGATGTTACCCTCAGCGTCCAGACTGCAAATGAAGCTTGC